GGGGGCTTCGGCAGCCACAGCGTGTGCGGGGGCTTCCGTGCCGGCTCCTGCGGACGCAGCTTCGGCTACCGCTCCGGGGGCGTGTGCGGACCCAGCCCCCCCCTGCATCACCACCGTGTCGGTCAACGAGAGCCTCCTCACGCCCCTCAACCTGGAGATCGACCCCAATGCGCAGTGCGTGAAGCAAGAGGAGAAGGAGCAGATCAAGGGCCTCAACAGCAGATTCGCGGCCTTCATCGACAAGGTGGGTGTCCTGGATCACACCCTTCCTGAACCACCACCACCTACATAGCCAGGGCTGGGCACGGAGGATGGAGTCAGAGGGAGAAAGACCTCTGCCTGTCTCAGATCCCAGTCTGCTGGGAGAGGCAGGCAGGCAGACAGACAGACAGACACACACACACACACACACACACACACACACACATACACGCACTAAAGACCCAGACTCAGATAGGAGGAGCTTGTGGAGGAAAAGTGTGGCCAGGCTGCTCTGGAGCACAAGCTAGACATCAGGGAGTTGGGGGTGGGGGGCCATGTGACCACTGCTGCTCAACTCAGAGGAGTCTGGGGAGCCCCAGGGTGAGACAGTAGGGTGCACTGACTTCCAGATGACATAGGGGAAGGACTGGGACAGCTGAGCTCCCTTCCAGATGGCCTGTGACACCCTCTTCCTGGCACGATCCCCAGAAGCCCCATCTGTGATCAGAACCTGGGCACTCTGCCTGTGAGGACTGCCGCCTCACCTGGCTTCAGAGTGAGGGGCTGAGCCTCCACTTGTGTTCATCTGCTTGGAGTCACTCAACTCCCCTGAGAGCAGGCACTGACACCCCCCCGACCCCGCCCTTGCTCCACTCCTGAGTGGAAAATCTAGACACAGATCATGGCCAGGAAATCCAGAAACTGCCTGTATCCCACTGCCCGCCTCTACTGAATCTCAGATAAGCTCCAGACTTGGGGATTCCCATTAAAGCATCACCCTTCCTCCAGGCCCCCAGAGCTGGCTTTGGGGCACCAGAAACCATCTGCCTCTCCTTCCCTCCCTGAATGGCAGGTGCGCTTCCTGGAGCAGCAGAACAAGCTGCTGGAGACCAAGCTGCAGTTCTTCCAGAACCGCGAGTGCTGCCAGAGCAACCTGGAGCCCCTGTTTGAGGGCTACATCGAGACTCTGCGGCGGGAGGCCGAGTGTGTGGAGGCCGACAGCGGGAGGCTGGCCTCGGAGCTCAACCACGTGCAGGAGGTGCTGGAGGGCTACAAGAAGAAGTGAGTGTGGACAGGAGGGATGCTGGGCACAGGAATGGGTTTAGGTTAAATACACTGGATTAGACAATAGGAAGAACTCCCAGGTGGGGTGAGTGGCCATGACCACTAGGTTGACCGAGGGTGGTGGGGTCTGGGTTCTTTTCCTTTGTGGAATCTTTGTCCGGACACCTGTGTAAGAGGAGGGCTATGACTCCCACGACCTGTCTCTATCTCACTTCAGCCCTCTCTTCCCTGAGCCACATCACCCAGCAGCTCTCCCCTGTGCTCAGTGGGGAGGAAGCCTCTGCAGGGTCCAGGCCTTCTCTCCTGCCCCTCAGCCCCTACAGTTGTAGCACCTGTCAGATGTGAGCCCAGGGTCGCTCAGCAGTGACAGGTCTGGGGCTCTGGGTGTGTGTGCGGGTCTGGGAGGCCCTCACACCTGAGCTAGGATTGGCATTAGTGATGGAGTGCTGGGGCTACAGGCCCTGGGAGGCCATGCTGCCTACTCCCGGAATGGGGCTGAGGGCTGAGTTCTATTTGCCCCCTGGGAGAACTCATAGCCCCTTTGGGAATAGAACTGGGAGGTCCCAGATAAGCCCTCTCCATCACCAATTCAAAGTGGTGAGGGAATCCAAAACACATCCCACATCCAACCAGGAATGACTCAGCTGGGCTGCCAGGGCCTGCTGTGTGGCTGTGTTCCTAGTACTGCCCCCATGGCTGTGATCGGGGTTGGGGCTCTGCACAGACCTGCTCTGCTCTGACTTCCCCTCTCTGCCCTCTGCTCTGTCTCAGGTATGAGGAGGAGGTTTCTCTGAGAGCAACAGCTGAGAATGAGTTTGTGGCTCTGAAGAAGGCAAGTGACACAGGATTGAGAAGCACAGACCCGTGGGATCTCAGAATGACAGGCTCTTCCTAGGGAGACACAGGGGGTCTCAATCTCAGTGTGGGGTGCAATGACTTTTCCACAGCAGGCTGAGACTGTCCAGGTGGAGGCCATTGGATAGAGAATCCAGAGCCTTGGCAGAGGACAATGACCTTGGAATATCCACCAGCTTCTGCCTTGGGCAGGAGGATGGGCTGCATTGACCTCTGTGTGTCTTGCTCTGTTTCAGAGGTTGTGGCCTGTGGTTGAGTCCCCTGGAGCCTTAGTAGATTCTGTCTCTGCTGAGGGACAGTGCAGTCTGTCTAGCATTGTGAGGAGTCTGACCTTGAGGCAGGGACATAATCCCAGGGTCTAGGGGAGGATGGAGCAGAAGCAGGAGCAGCCATTGGGCTCTTTGAACACTGCTGTGGAACAGGAAAGGGTCAGGGTGTGAGTGATGGGGGGCCAGTCTGGGCAGGCTTCCTGGACCTGGAGAGGGGAGAAAGGAGAGATGGCAGGGCAGGCAGGGGTGAAAGGCTGGTGAGCAATGCCCAAGGCCACAGGGTTTGTCCTTAGAGGGGAAGAGGATGTTGGATCATTCCGGGAAGGGCCAGAAGGGAAGGGGAGGGCATGGGAATGGGATGCTGGGGACTGCTTTTCCCTGGCTGCATGGATTGGGTGTGATGAAAGAGTAGTCTGGGGACTGGATCACCGGGGTCCTTGCGCTCCAACACTCCCCACCTTTGCAGGACGTGGACTGCGCCTACCTCCGCAAGTCAGACCTGGAGGCCAACGTGGAGGCCCTGGTCCAGGAGATCGACTTCCTGAGGCGGCTGTATGAGGAGGTGCAGGCTCAGGGGCCAGGCAGATGCCTGGTAGCCAGCAGAGAGGAGAGCTGGGGGCGGGGTGTTGGATAGGATGTGGGTAGGCGCCGCTGTCCCTGAGGCTGTGAGTGGGTGGGCTGGGGACCAGAGAAGGCCTGAGAAGGTGGAGTCCAGGACATGGTAGGTGGGGCTGTGTTCTCAACTAAAGTCGCTGCCCTCACCTCCTGCAGGAGATCCGCGTTCTCCAATCCCACATCTCAGACACCTCCGTGGTCGTCAAGCTGGACAACAGCCGGGACCTGAATATGGACTGCGTCGTCGCTGAGATCAAGGCTCAGTACGACGACATTGTCACCCGCAGCCGGGCTGAAGCCGAGTCCTGGTACCGCAGCAAGGTGAGTGGGGCAGCACATCTGTCTGCTAGACATGGCAGTGGGAGGGATGTGAGGCATCTATTAAATATGCTTCCTTTCCTGGGGATGCTGGTCCCTAGGGACGAGAAGAGAAGGGCTGTCTCTCTGAGGCTGGAGTGGCAGGGCAGGACTGCCACATGTGGTTGCACAGGCTGAGCACTGCACACCCTGCACAACCATCCGTGGTGTCCTGAATGGATGGGTGGTCCCGCCCTGAGCCTCCTGAGCATCTCTCCTTTCCCAGTGCGAGGAGATGAAGGCCACGGTGATCAGGCACGGGGAGACCCTGCGCCGCACCAAGGAGGAGATCAACGAGCTGAACCGCATGATCCAGAGGCTGACGGCCGAGGTGGAGAACGCCAAGTGCCAGGTATGGGGCATCTGTGCCCAAGGCCCGAGAGACTGAATGCCTAACCCTTGTCGCACAGCCTATGTGTGCCCTCCCTGGATCTCAGCGTTCATTCTCCAGCCCCTCTGTCCATGTAGAGTCCCTGGTGTGGTTTCTCAGTGAGTCCCAGGTGATGAAGGCAAGAGGCTCTGTTTCCGGATGCTCTCAGCTTGGTAGGGAGTGTGGTCTCATCCAGGTAAGCATCGGAGACTCTAATCTGCCTTCTTCTCTCTGTTCTCTTCAGAACTCCAAGCTGGAAGCCGCGGTGGCCCAGTCTGAGCAGCAGGGTGAGGCGGCCCTCAGTGACGCCCGCTGCAAGCTGGCCGAGCTGGAGGCCGCCCTGCAGAAGGCCAAGCAGGACATGGCCTGCCTGATCAGGGAGTACCAGGAGGTCATGAACTCCAAGCTGGGCCTGGACATCGAGAT